AAATTGTAATCAATTAAATGTGAATATTTGATGTAACGAAGAAACTCTACTGACAAACTGACAGAACATTATTATTATGGCTGAAGAGAAAGTTGGACAGTTCATATTAGGACTTTTGTTACATTGTTGAAGTACATCGATAGGTTTTATACTGACGATCACCGTCCATCATAAACTTGTAATTCTTAATCATTCCAGCCAAGTTCAAACAATTATTATGTTCCGATATCTCTACATTGAAGTGAAAGCTTTATTTAAATGTATTATATACAAACCTAATATTTAGAATTTATCATTTCAACTGCTGTATTATGGAGTATAATGAAAGAATGTTCACCTGGCAAAACAATGAATTTATTAATAAAAGTAATATATTTGTAATACCTCAGTGGGTAGAAAAAAGTAAGCTTTTAAATTTTCTAACGTTTTGTGTCTCAGTTTAAGCCACTTCTTCAGAGAACAATAACAATCTATCCAATACTCAAATTATTTGAAACTATCAAGTTAAACCTTGATAATGACACCTACAAAATGAATTTATGTTTATCTTTCATGGATTTTAAGTGTACACATTTATGTTATTCAAACTTTCTTTATATATAACAAAATTATAGTAAATACCTAGTTGATTATCCAAAGATTATTGTCAGTATATGAATGTTGCATAACAAAACATTCGAATAAAAAGGTCATCTCCTGAAATCAATAAAACATTTTAACATGACAATCAGAGGATGACAATTCCAATTAGCTTCAAAAAATCCTGTTCCATTTATAATCACTTCAAACAACATAGAAGATAAATACATCTCATTCATTGTATAAAAAACAGTCAAAATGAACTAGGTGTATTCTAAGATTGTTGGAAAGAAATCTCACCAACATTAAGTAAAAACTAAACAATTGAACATTAAACTGAACAGTTCAATAATTCTAAACGATCTACCAAAGAAAAAACAAAATACCAGTATTTGACTTTATTTCTTCATATATTTTAAAAACAGAAAATAATTGTTAAGGATGTTAGATTCCCAGAACTCATTTGGTAAATATCTTATCTTTGTAATTTTACTTAAAACATTTAAATCTCTTGTTTTCGCACCAAAAGCGCTCATTTTCACCTTCATGTCGTATTTCCCATATGGGAAAACCTTAAATGTTATTCGTTTGTTTTATCTTTTAGTATATTATTTTGTAACGTTTCTCAAGGTCAATTTTATGCTGTTAATATACGTTTGACTTGTGCCTGTTGTGATTACTCATGCTCGTGGGATATATCTCCCTTTTCCAGACTTGAACTTCTCTCCTTAGTTAACAGGGTTGAAACGCATCAGAATAACTAGCTTATCTGTCATTGTGTCATAAAGTCTTCGTACCGTTCTTAGATTGAGTGAACACATAATCGCTTCAAACATAGCAATAATAAAAGTGAGAAGAAAAAACCAAAGATATAAACTGTAAAAATCACTTAAACAAAATTTTAAAAAATGGTGAGAAAACTTAAACTAAAAATATTTTTTTAAAAAAATTGACAAAATTTGATTGGAATTTTAATAAATAATAAATTTTAATTAATTTGTGGTTTTCTATCCAACGAAATAAAATCCATAGTGACACTTCACTGTTGAATTTTAAAAAATGATAAGATTTTACAAACAGACAAATAAAGATAAATAAATTTTTTTCGGTTTTCACTGATGAAATACACACAAACACACACACAAAAAAACCGGTTCATTTCAATTAGAATTTTTTTGTTATTATTATTCAAAAAGAAAATAAAAACGCATAGATACTAATACAATTTCATGATTCAAGGCATTTTGTTTTATTAATTAATAAGAAATAATTAAACGTTTATTAGTCAAATAATCATTTCTCTAATCCTGTATAAAATTATCTCAGTAAAATTGAGAAAGAGAAATTATTACGAACAATTATTTTCATTTTAATAGTTGAGATCTTGAGTCAATAGAAGTTAGATAACTATGGAAAATCTGAAAGCAATGTAAGGTCGTTTCGTTCTACTGTAGTGAATGTGTCGCTCAATTTTATGGATTAGTTGAAGTTAGATATTAACAACTTTGAAGCTCGCGAGGCATGATCGTGGATGCGCAGTGTTGAGGAGTTCCTTAATAGGACGAAACAGCCGTACAGTGCTTCCAGATTTTCTATGACGGTCTAGCTTCAACTGACTCATGATCTTAACTATTGAAATTACTAATAATATCCACAAAACCCCATCTGATATTAATTATTTTACCGAAAATGAAGTTTAGATAAATACATAGTCTGAAGTTATTTCTCATCAATTTTCAAAATCAAATTAATTGGCGTTCAAACAATCTTGTTGTTTTAACTAATTAAGTTTAGATTAGGCTTCAATTTTCTGTGGCATTCGTTTCAATCATGTAATATGAGGGTCTAGAAATCGATTTTTTATGACTATCCAACAGTTCTCATACAGGAAAAAAGTTGAAGATAACAAATTAATACAGAAGAAAAACATGCTCATTTAGGAACTGCAACAAGAAATCGTCATTATCTTTGAATATATCAAGATGTTTTTAGTAGTTTTCTAATCTATAAATCAAAATTTTATAGGACTATTACCAGTGGCTAGCTTCAAGATGGATTTCCTGGAGTTCTAATGAGAAGCCTTTGTCAGCGGCGTATAACAACTCACGTGCAATTGAGTTTGTTCTCATTTAATTCGGTTAAGCCCTTCTGTTAACTTATTTAGCGGACAAAGTCATCTGTACTATAACAACTTAATGTACCATTACTATTGTTGTGCTTGTATGAAATATGTATATTTGAACATTGTTTACCTCCTACGTATATATTCATTTTGCTAGCTTTATTAATAGCTGCTTAATCGATTCGATGATCCATTCATTTCCCTATATATTTCATGTACATTTAACACTCTACACTCCCGGTTCGCTGACTCATTCATTATGCCTCTCTGCTTTGTGGTTTGAGTTATCTGCTAATAAAACTGTAGTCGCTGCTTCTCTTTGCCTTCTGATTTCAAACACCGTTGAGGATTATATGATAACGGTTACGAGGGTGATTGGTTAACGAAGCACAACCACTACAGGCGTACAATCTGTGTCGGGTGTGAGACAGTTATCCACCTGAGACAACGGAAGAAAGTTTGTAAAAGATATCAAGGATCAATCTAAATTGAACATTAACACTGTTGAATAAAGGATCAGTGGCCTAGAGGTTGTGTGTTTGCTCACGAGACTGAAGTGCCTGGGTTTGAGTCTTATGTGCAATATCATGGATATACACTACTGAGGAGTCCCATACTAGAACAAAACTATCGTCCAATGCTTCCAGGTTTTCAATGGTGGTCATGCTTAGTTTGACTCGTGAATTCAACTGTGAACCTACTATCGTCATAGATAAGTTGATGTATTTGTTGAGTCCATATGTTCTGCCTAGAAAAATTAGAGAATAACTTACTATTAGCAATATTAGATTGTCTAATTAAATACTTCTGATAGTAAATAATTTATCTTGTGATAATAGATGATGAATTATTTTATTAAGCTTCACGATTATTCATTATAATTGATGACGTGTGATACATTCATTATCTTAATTATGACTTTGGGAAGTATCGTTTTCTGTCAGAAGACACTTTGAAGATCTTTGGACCACATCTTTCTTACAACTTTGTATTTTGCAGTAATCTACAATTGTTGAAATCGTATATTTACAGAGAATATTTGTGATTCAGGAGGACATTTGATGTAAGAATCGATTATTTTGTTTAGAAAGACAATGAAAGCTCCTCAATTAAATCAATCAGCCTAGAAAATACAGAGCTACCAAAACCAATCAGCTGAGTTATTAGTCCACTCCATCACTTTGAAATTACTTTGATAATGATAGAAGTTCGTATGGTGATTTTTTGCGCTTAATATAAGTATAAGTTTGAAATGATCTCAAAAGGTAAATACTGATTTCATATGACCAAAGATACCTTTTTTGATAACACATAGTGATTGCTAAACAGCAACTGTAATCTACTGTAATCTTTCAAATGAGTTATTAAATGATTTCTGACGTTTATTATTAACACATTTTGGCGGAATTTCGCCTCTATTTAAACAATTTGATTTCTTCTCCAAAGTTGACTTTCAACATTAAAAGACAAGTGGGATTTTATACAATTACACCAAAACATATACTCTTAAGTTCACTTTCATCAATAATGTTAGCAAGTTTGTTTCTTAATTATTTTGTATCATTGAATGGCATTTGACAACGATGAATTTTTGACAAATTGATTATTGTAAGTAAATGGGAGTGGAGATATTTGAATTTCATTGAAATCACTAACCGATTAGTGTTGGGCCACTATTGAAAACTTCGAAACACTTGACATTGGTTTTATCCTAGTATGAGATCCCTCAATATTGCGCATCTACGATCACGCACATAGGAATTAAACACAAGCGCTTCAGTCTCACGTGCGAATGCTTAACCTCTAAATCATAGAGCTGGCTTCTAACAGTGTATTGATGTAACTAATAATTGTTAGTGATACCAGAATTTTCTTCATTAGTTTATTCTATTGTCAGTGAATGCAAAATTTAATCTGCAAACTATTTAATTAAAGATGTAAATACCACTATACTGATTATATCATTTTTAGGATTAAATTTCTGTAATCAATGGTCTTGTGAGTATACTCAACTAGTTGAGACTAGAATGTTTAGATTATAAAGATAAACATTGAAATCTTTAATTTCATGTATCCATTAGATCAATAATGACATTATAATTTAAAATATTTAAACATAGTCATATACAACAGTAAACCGTAAATAATGCTCTAATTAGATGTATGGTCCAGGACAGAGTGAATTGGAGAATGATGGTCAGCGGCCTATATTTCATTGGGAATAACAGGCATAAGCATGTAATTAATTAAATGTATTATACTATATATTAATTCGAATAAAGAAAAAAGAAGATTAATTCTAAAATCAGATTTTATTAATACAACGAAACATGATATTAATATTTCACAAATGTTTTATCCAAACAAAACTTCCAAACTTCATTTCCTTTTCGTTTTTTCTCGTTTTCCTTTTTGGTCAATCAAAGTATGTTTATAATATACAACTGAATATCAAGTGATCAAATGGAAATCTTTTATATTTTACATACAATTTCTTTTGTCAATTCGATAAACACAGAAAGGAACATTGTTTGAATGATTTATTGATTTGATTGAGATTTTTTTAGTTTAAATAGATCGATTTGAACATGAATAATCCTTTAGTTGTTGAATATTGAAAAGCCTAAAAAAGAATCAATAAAAATATGATTAGCATATTAAATCTAAATAGATATTTCAATAGTTGAGATCATGAGTCAATTGAAGCTGAACCACTAATGGAGTTCAACCGGGTCAGTTGTGAAATAGAAACACACTGATGACAATGGTGGATGTGTCGCTCAGTTTCATGGATTAGTTGAAGTTAGACATTAACATCGTTGTATGCACTCGTGCACAAGACTGATAAGTCCTGGGTTCGAACCCCGCGAGCAGAATCGTAGATGAGCATTGCTGAGGAGTCCTACAGTAGGACGAAACGGTCGTTCATTGCTTCGAGGTTTTCCATGGTGGTCTAGCTTCAAATGATTCATGATTTCAACTATTGAAATTACTAAAATCTCCACAAAACCTCTTCTGATACTAAATAGATATATAAATTTAAATAAAAATACTAACCAACATGTAAGCCAAAAGTACTCAATTTATTTTATTCTTAAAGTTGAAATTCAATATTGTACTAAAAATTTGAAATTAGTTCAAGATTTTCATAATTAGATCATAGATGAAGGTTAGGTGTTTATAGTTTATAAAAATTAGATATCCGTATCAGTTAACAAAATAGTTTCTTTCTTTCATACTGGTAAAAACTTACCAATGTAACAACAACAAAAGAAATAGTATTCCCATGTACATGTAACTAACGTATTCCAAGTACAAAATATGAAATAATAAAGAGAACTATTATTATTAGTGGCTTTATTCAACATTATATTTTTGGTACAATATAGAATTCTCAGTGAAAAGTATTTCAACGAGTTTCCTTATCTTATTTCTTGATCGATCCTGACGATAAATATTGAGTGGTCGCCAATCAGGTGTTATTAGTTCAGGAATCAATATCTGAATAATGTTCATTCTTGCCAATCCATATTGTCAACAATCACGATGTCTCTGACTGTGTTCATTCCTAACTTGTACAGCGAAATGTCGTGAACTTTTGACGAACACACCTGAATAGGTTATGGGACTAATGGGTAATAATGATGTGTTAAAACAAACAAGAAAATAGATAACTTTTTGAAATATCTAGATGGCAGGAATAGGTAGCCCAGATATTTAAGCAGGCCGCCTTTGGATAGGTGGCATAGATGTCATTATCATATGTTGGTTATAACATTTAAGCAAACGTTAAATCTTTCTAAGAACAGTTAAAGAAAGTTGAATTTAAACTACTGAAAATATTGAGCCTGCGTTCAAATAAAATAATAACAGGATTTCCTTAAAGCAGTTTACGATCAATCTTTTGCTTAAATTACAAAATTAGTCTTTTCGACATTCTACCTAGCTAGATAATTTAAACTGTTGTTTTGTAATAAATGCAATGAATTATACTGCTAAAAGCATATATTGTTTTATTTAGATATACTGTACATCAATGAACAAAAAGAATACATTGAGAAAGAGAATAGTATGCTGGTAAATGTCTGATGAACTATATAACGTTGAAAGGCCACTTAACAGATCAGATATACAAGTGTTAAGGGACTATTGTGAATAAGAGAACTATTTATATGTTCAAAGTAACCACACGCGCGTCCTTGTCCCAATCATTAATATATCACTGTGTACCCATATGCTATGTACGATATGATTCGACCTCAGGCCATAAAGATTCATAATCAGTTTTTGTTTGTTTTCCTCTGCACAAATGGTTGATCCGACGGGAGGAAAACAAATTACTGTAAGACCTTAGGGAACATATTTTGATATAATAACTAAACATCTAGAAAGACGGTTTACGACAAATCACAATCTATATATGTTAATTAAATATGATTTAAATTATTCCATATAATTATAGGTCGTTATTAAAATATTAGAGAAAAATATTTCGTTGGAATTAAGAAAATCAGGAAACAAATAATTTTCTAAACTTCAGACTTTCATTATAAGCAAAGATGGATAGTGGCTAGCAGTGGAATCCATGAATCATATTTCGTCCTATTTAGATAACGCGATGCCGTTGGAAGGGAGTGGTACTGTGTTCGAGTCCCAGAGTGAACATCAACTCTGAGATGCGGGCACATTCAGCTGACGCGTGCCAAATAGGACGAAACTCACGTCCTGGATTCCACTGCCTATTCCACTATCCATCTTTGTTTATAATGCTTGTGAATTAAGGCAATATCGAGGCAATAAGCACAGGATGCACATATAGCCAATAAGAGACTCATCAACTTTAGTCCAACACATCGATGGGAAGATTCATGTAAACAATACCAAGTGGATTAAGACTTTTATTATTCTGTTAACGATAAAATTTATTTTATTTCGTTTATATATTAAACGAGCTCGCTTTATTTTTTATTTTCACAGTTGAAATCACTAGTCGATCCTCGCTAGACCACCACTGAAAACCTGGAAGTACTGGACGATCGTTTCGTCCCAGTATAGACCTTCTGAGCAGTGCGCATCCTCGATCCCGCAAGCGGACAATTTATTAGTTTTATTAAACTTTCGGCAAAGTATATTTTATCTAGTTCCAAATGATTAAATCTCTCAGTGATTATTTGAAAACTATTTCCTAGAATTGCTTAACACTTTTTTCGTTGGTTCAACCAGTGTTTTTCATGGCACTATAGTTACTCAGGTGTATTAAAAATAGAGATATTATTCACAAACTGCTAGCAGATATTGAGTGGAGCAATCAGGTTTGATGTCAGTTGTGTAATCCGCGACGTCTAAACGTTTATATTATGCGGTTGGAAATAGTTGGATTAAAAGTCTTAAATATACGTTTAGTAATAATTAGCTCATTTCAGCGAGAAATACCTGGAATCTTGAGGAAAGCGTTTGCTCATTTGAGGTCTGAATCTTCATTATTCAGCTTCATGGCCTGATATGTTGCTATAAAGATATCCAGGTAACATTTAATCTCTTAAAAGATTAAGATACTGAATGCAAAGTTGTAACTGGTGATGAATCATTTATCTGTAATATCAAACAAAATTTCATCATTCATCAAATTTTAATCAAATGTTCTTCGGATAACTTAGTTCCAACACTTTAAATCCGCCGAACTGTAAAGATAATCTCATCACATTCTTCAGTAGACTTACTCTCTTTTTTACAATCTAAAGTTATACAGTTAACAGATTATGATTTTTGAATAAGTTCATGCCTTTAAAGAAAAATATTGTATGTCGTAATAAGATAAGTCATTTAGAAATTAACTTAATTTGTGACCAGTTACTATAAACTGTAAAACAATAAACCAATTATTAAAAATAATAATGTAAATTGTTTAAAACTACATAAAATATTCATTAGATCGATTAATATACCGTTTATTTATGATTAATTCAGTATGATATCGATAAGTTATAGATTCCCAACTTATTAATTTAGATCTAGTTTTGATCCGTTCAAAGAATAATCATTGTGTGCAAATTTATGAATAAAAAGCTGAATGAAGTAATGAAATATCGTAGATCATATCATACAATAATTAATTTGCTTGTTTCTCGTTAGCATCATTTTAACCAAGTTATTTTTTATAGGATGAAGTTGTTGACCTCATACACAAACCTTCTCCTTTATCCAGGCTTCTGACCAGAAGTAGCCCCAGAAGACCTACAGATAACATCAAAGTCAGAATCTTTAATACAAATGTCAAAACAGTTCTGGTGTATGAAGCTAATACTTGAAGAACTACTACAACCAAAAAGGTACAAGCATTTATAATCAGTTGTCTATGCAAGATATTGAATGTCTGTTGATCGGATACCATCAGCAACAATCTACTATGTCAGCGAACAAAGTAAATTCTAGAGGAATAAGAAATCAGGAAAGGACTTTAGTGATGAGTGGGATATGCATTGAGGAAATCCTGATGACAAAAAGAAAAGAGGAAGACCAAGGAGCAGATTGCGTCAGGAATCGGAGGTAGACATCGAAAGAATGAATAGCAACTGGAAAGGATTTCCCAGGGCAGAGTTCGATGGAGGATGCTTATGGGTGGCCTGTGCTCCTCAACGAAGGGTGACAGTTGTAAGTAATTAAGTATATAAGGAATTTGCTTGTTGAAGAATGACTGCACATACATCATTTCAGTTTGTTATAATTTTTCGCTCGATCAGTCGTCATACTTGCTTCAGTACTTCAATTATTTCGCATTATATCCATATGTAATCAGGATAAAACAGTTGTCATAGAATTTTTATATCCACGTCTCTGATTACTTATACTTAAAACAAGGAACCACTGAAATTCACATGACGTAAAAGTAAGAATACAGAAGACTGATACAAGTGAAGATTTATTAACTCCAAAACACAACAACCACTAGTCAAAAATGAGCTCAGTTTGACATTGATTTTAACACACACTTGATAATTAATTAGTAAAAGGTCACATATATGAAATTATAGCAAAATAGCACGTCTCATGTCATACTGAATATGGTTTACGTTAATTTAATACAAGAATATCATATCTTGAATAACCATCATACTGAAGTAAATCAACGCTATACTGAATAAAGTGACACACTGAAAAATAAAACAAATATTGTAGTGAACAGAACATGAATGGGGACAATTGAATGCATTTGAGCACAAAATTACAGAGCATCTCACTAAAATCTGAGAATCACATAGTAAACTGTTAATCTGCAAAATATCAATCCATCGTCTCAAACTTGACTTCCTTTTGCAAATCTCAGTCCATCGTCTCACATTTCATTGTTTATGCATTTTCATACCAATTGCGTTCCGTTCCCGTTCTTTCCTTATCAATCTTGTACTGAAATGCATTCTATGTCTGACCACTGTTATATACTACTTGTGTGGATATACGCAATCCACACCAAAATATTACACTAAGTAATCACCATATTGAACCAAACACGAAAAGTATCACAATCGGTTAAAAGTATGAATATGCTTATTTATCCTATCACATCAAGAATGAATAGGAAATGTTTCAAGAAAGGATAATTACATTCAATTACTTGAAATTTCT